TTAAACAACCAAGAAGGACACCTGAATCTGTTCTAAATCTTTCTCAAGCAAGAATTGAAAGAGTAAGGTTTATTGGATATTTTAAAGAAAAATGTGTATCTTAAAAAATAAAGTTGAAGATCTGGACAGAAATTCCTCTTAAAAGTTAGTATCCTTCCAAGAAATACATATTTCTCTGTACATCTAGTAGTGATGCCAAACAAAATAATTGGAAAATGACTCAAATCAAAGGTAGGCCACATCACAGATTTCTTAGTAAGTAATGTCTGTAAGAACTTACCAAGTTTTGATGATTTGTGGAAAGTTTTATTAATATTTTCTTGAAGATTTTATGACTTGGAAAATGTAACTTTCAAGAACACTTCTTGCTGCTTCTATTTCCAATGAAGTTAGTAAATCAAATATACTGTAGAAATATGTTTTGCCTTAAAATTCCCTTTCATATGAAACTAATTATTTTATATTTAAATGTTATATATATTTTAGTTCAGAAAATTTTCAAAGTTCTTGTAAGAATTTTAATGTTTAGGAATATTTACAAAGGGAAAATATTTGGAAATAGTAATAAAAAGTGATTAGACAATTAAAGAGCATAACAGAAACTTGAATATTCAAATATGGGTAGGACACAATCAAGATAGCGACTCTTAATCTATTTTTAAAATTAGTTTATTTTCAACTTAAAACTATTAAAATTTTCTATGCATAAGGAAGAAACCATAAATTCAGCAATAAAAAGCTTTATGTGAAACTTTTTAAAGAGCTAACAATGATAAAATACCTTTACGTTATGATTATGAATAATGTTTTGTTTTAAAGTTATGCATTATTTTGATTAGTTTTCATGGAAACTCACAATTTCTTGTAATTTGTGGAAAAAAATAAACTTAGCATGCAATGTAATCATGACCTAACATGTGACATGGTGTTTTATAATATGTAGTCTTCGTTTTGTTGGCCCAGTCACTTCCAAGTTATAAACATAACTAACTTTTTACTTTGAAGCAAGCATAAAAAGTATATCCATTAGGGCAGCAATAATAAAAAAGCATAAAATTGAAAATGCTCAAAGCCATGGTGAAGCTGTTTTATATTTATAACTCCACTGTTATTGCCAGAGAATTTAATATTTAAAAGACTTTTTTAATTTTCACTCTGACAGGGACTGATGTGGTATGTGGAACCCCAAAAGTGAAGTAAATGGGGGCCCAAAAGTGAATATTTCCTCACCTGAATTTAATAAAATCAATATTATTTTTAAGAAGATATAGATTCAGAATAAATTAATTTCATGATAGATTTTGAGAGGTTACAAGAAGTTTCTTTTCAGTACAATCAAAATATTATCATAGCAATTCAGATTGTCAGTAAAAGCTTAAACAAATTTGCTGATAATCCTGTTAATGACCTAGGTCAAGTGTTAACTGTTGTGGGTTATAAAGTAGTGAAATTAAGGTTTCTTCTACCTCCAGGCAAGTAACACAGTTATAACTGTTGGGGGTGGGTGGAAGAGCAAGCTATTAGGAGAACTATTAAATTACAAAAATGTATGATGCATTCAGTTATTTAGTCTAGCATGAAGAAATGCTATTAAAAGCAAATGTAAGCCCTCTTTAAAAAAAAAAACCTATAAAGATGACATGATAGCTTAGCTTTCCGTTAAAGTTTCAATCACAGAATGTTTTCATTTGAGGATAAGAGTATATAGTATTGATATAGTGATGTCAATTCATAGTAATTTCTCAAAAGAGGAAATCCATTATTTAAATATTTGTTATCTCCAACTGTTGCCTACTACTCTAAGGGAACCATATAGCACACATCTGCAAGTTTTACTTTTAAGCTTTAAACAATCACATAATCTCCTCTCATACTTAGAGGAAGATTTATGTTCATAGAAATGCATTTCATAGAAAGTGTCTTAGCCACTCCAGAAAAAGTATTCCCAAGTACGTAGTGTATAAGTATGTAGATTTAATTTTATTTTGGAAACTCTCATTTTCAATGTAAAGAGTTTATGGGGTAAATGTTAATTCATCTATGAACACTGTTGGATGGGAAACTATTAAGTTTAATAGTTCTGTTTCAGATTGTTTTGAATACACTGTGTTTTAAAAGGGTACTCTGTGTAAATCTGAAACAGTTTTGACTACTAACAGCTGATAACTTTATTCTATATCAAGTTTTACCTCTTTCCAAAGTTATTTTTTACTATTATCAGAATCCATGCAAGATGGGAACAGAAAGCAAGAATGAGAACTTTTCTAATAAAATGGTACAAATATTCATTATGAAGGTAATTATTTATCACTGGAAGTCTCTTTTTATTATATGTGAATGGAAAGAAATGGTCATATAATAAATGTTTTACAAAGTTCTGTGTATGTAGGCCAATTCTCAAATAATCATTGAAATTATACACCTTTATTATCATTAACAAGAAAATGTCCAGTGGAATCACTTTCTTGAAAGCATTTTAGAATGTTAGTGCAATTAAATTATGAATTAGAAAATTCAGATCAAACTTTTAAGTTATTTTTCTTATGATGGCTTGATGGAATTCGAATTCTGATATTTAATTATCTCAAACTCTTTTTTACAAAAACCTCTCATAAAGGCAAGATTCATAGCCATCAGCTCAATGGCCTGGTTTTGTTCGTTCATTTCTGCCATGTGTAGCTTCATAATAAAGAGCAGGCCATGTTATAGTAAATATGCTCTTATTAATGTCTAGTAACTTTTCTGTAGTTTTTGAACATGATTTTCAGCATATTTTTATAGCCTATATGCTGATACTTCAGTTTTCAAAATGCATGGGAATGCTACATTAATGTGATTCATTTTATTTTTACCCTATATATGGATCTAAATTACTTTGTCAGAGGAATTGCATGGAAATCTTGGCCCATACTTGGAATTTTCACTGGTCATAAGATTCAACTCAACTACTAAGAGCCAAGAAATTTGATAAATATTTAAAGCATTACTTATTTATGTATTATCTAAGTTAAATGTTTCATTTTGATTTTTTTAAATGCATTCACAAGCTCAAAAGGAAAAGGAGACAGTATCTACAAGATGCAGTTGGGAAAGAATTAGCCTGTGAACAATAGATAACGTAAAACTTTTATTTAAGCAAATTACTTTGTGTTAGTCAGTTTTATGAGCATTTTTAGCATTTTTAAATCTATATTGTTAGTGTGTACCCATCTATTTTGTACACTTTATAACCATCCAGACATATACTGTGGCTTAAAAGCAGTTAAGACTTAATTGTACCTATTTCAGTAAATTTGTATTCATTGATTTTATATGACTGTGCATAAGATTAAAGGTAATTTTTCTGCAGTTTGCTAAAGGTTGTGTTGTACACAAATGTAATTTTGTCAATATTCTTACACATCATTAACTAATTAATGTCATTATCCAAACAGTTCATATATATTCCATTTGGAAAAAATACATCTTATCATTAATATTTTGTTATCTTTAAAGAAATATTTTAAACACTTTGAACTTAACTTATTTCTGCATTATTCGTATATAAACTTATGCTCCTTAAAATTTATGTAGAATTACTTTGGTAGAGAAATGACTGATCTTTTTACAAAAAAATTTACTTATGTCATTAAAAAGTCATTTGTGGGAAGGACGATTGTCTTTATCATCACACTGAAAAGATTTTCAATTTTTCTATTGAAAACTGACAAAAAAATTAATGGAATCTTCCAAATTTATCAAGGCAGCCAAGTGGCTCAAGAAAGAATATTAAATGCTTCATTAGCAGTGAAATTAGGTCATCAACATTTGAAGCAGCCTTTATAGTTAATGAGTTTAAAAATATTTTTTCACACATGTTACAAAAATAATGCATACAATAAGCACCAATATTGGCTCTACAATATATTCTCAAGCAAGTGTGTTATACATAATGCTGTGTTGCTTGCACAACAATTGCTTTATTTTGCTAACTTGCCCAACAAATTGCTATGAATTCAAAATCATTAAGAGGAAAAATAAAGTTGTAATTGTTAACTGCAAAGAAATCAATTATTCAGAGAAGTTTGTCTCAACAGTTAGTGTTTTTATTCATAAAGCATTAAGAATATATCCTGAAAGGTCTACAGAAAAAGGTAGTGCATGAAGCACACACTCATAAGAAAAAATATTCTTAATACTAGGTTTGCACTTTAATCCATTGAAAAGCGATGGATGACCATAACAAGGACAATAAATATTCCAACATCAAGTAAATGGCATTTGCTGCCTATGAGCATTCTTTCTTAATTTGCTATTCAGTTATTTACTGTATCTACCCAGGAGCTATTCATTAATCATTAAACGCATTCTCCTATTTGTATGTAAGCCCTTTATTTGAAAGAACCCAGCCTCAGCTTACTGTACATTCCTGCAAACACAGCTAGTGTTAATGTGGTATGCATATGCTGCCCATGAGAACCTGTACCGCTGAGCACAGCATCCCCAGGCGGAATCCACAGCTCTCCAGTACTTTAAACACACGCACACGCGCGCGCACCTCGGCTCCAACAAGCCCTTTCCCCTTCAGTCCATTCATAAATGCCAAAGGTTCTAAGTAGCCGCAACCTGCCATTATCTTTAAAACACGGCGTAGGTTCTGGAAGGTTGGTTTGCCTTTTCTTTGAAACTTCTCAAAGTACCACATGGTCATAATTAGAAAATAAAATACTGCCTTGGCTATTTGGCAATTAACAGACTGGGTCGTAAAAACCGGAGGATTTTCTTTCTTTCTGCTTCAAATAGGCAAACGAGGTAATCGTTTGAATCACTATCAGATTAGAACCAGATTTTCTGAGGGTTTCCACCATCCCAAATTATCTCCCAAAGTGTTTTGGGACCGCTGCAGAGCAAAGCTCCTCTTTCTCTTCTTCTCCTTTGGAGGCGTCTTAGGGATGCGAGTGGGCTCCGTGGGCAGAGGGTTCTGCGGGTCCCCGCGGGGCGCGGCGCGGTACCTGGCTTACCTTCGTTGGAAGGCTGCGTGCTCAGTTCCCTGGAGCAGCTGAGGACGGAGCAGCCGAGCAAGAGGAGGATGGAGAGGTGACAATCCATGTTGCTGGTGCCCAGGGCAGTGAGACGAGCATATCTCCATGAAGCATGCCACTGATGTGAGGGGGAGCGCTCTGATTGCTGGAGAAGTTACCATGCTCCGCTTGCAGTCTGATGTCAAGTTTGACACTGGAGATAAGGAGGAGTCTGGCTGCCTTTCCACGAACCCCGCTCTGGGACCTCGCTGGGTCCTAGTGCCGTCGGAAGCGTGCTCTGAGGAAGACAGCAGAGCAGTGGCAGCGGGCTGGCAGCCAGTTCTGGTGCAACAACCTCCACGGGGTGGGGTGGGAGTCCAGGGCGCCGCCAATGGGGTAAGAGATTCGGAAGTTGGGATGGGACAGTGACTGAGAGTCGTGGGAGCCATTCCCTCATTTCACAGAAAGGCAGCTGTTTTATTGTTTGCTATACTTGATCCATTGCTCGCTGGTTCCCCGTGTCCACGAAAGAAACCAGGAGCCCTGATAGGGGTGTCATATGGTATAGTAAGAGGAAAAGAAACTAAAGTGCCAGAGAAATGTTTTTTTGTTTTTTGTTTTTTGTTTTTTTTTAAGTGGGATAGTTTCATTTTAAGACGCTTACATAATTTAAAGGCCATCAGCAATCATCCCTTTACTGTGTTCAGTGTGATCGCAATTCTCTTCGTGGTCAGCAAGACATCAGTAGATAGCCCAGATCAGAACGTCTGTTCAGTTCTCCACCACGTGGTATCTGGCTGTTAAGGGATTTGGCATAGTGATTTCTGCTCACAGAGGGCCTGCAGGTTCAGCATACTAGGAAGTACTCCTCAGCCTTCAAAGGTGGTAACAACCCTAGTCTTAGCTGTAGCCACAGTCCCCACTCAGCCCCATCGGCACTGTAATTGTAATATAAATCTAACTTCAAGTTCTGAAGATTGCTTTGCCCTGCAGGCACCAGGTAGCTTTAGGACATCTTGGTTCCGTGGGGAACCGCAGGGTGTAAATTACAGCTCCCTGTTCAGGCTTTCAGTCACCAATAACCTGGTCATATTTGAATACTGCTCTTTCACATTTCAAACCCAATGGCTACATAATAGTATCCTTGGACTTTCTTACTTATTTTGCACTATCATTATAAGTGGGCTCTTATTGAGCATTTTAATTGCAATCTATGCCAGCCAAATAATTTTGCAATTTATATTTTAATAACTCTTCTCAATTAATTTGAAATATGTCCCAGGGAGTGATTACTCACCTACCCTCCCACTACCCATCCATCTCTGAATATTCTGAAAAGAAACAAGATTATTATATTATCTTGCACAGCTCCAAGAATGGAAGGTATGTTGACAACATTAACATCAGTGATCAATTTTAGAACACTGAAAAGTAGAATCTAAACAAATCTGAAAAGGTCCTGATCATAAGATACTCATCCCCCAAACTCAAGCCCCCCCCCCCGCCCCAAGTTGAGAG